CCCCCCCCCCCCCCCCGCATTCATTTGAGAAGTTGAGAGACAAAACTGTCTGGGTGTTCATCCGGAGGTCCGGGAAGCCTACGAATGAAGACGAATTTGTCACCTCCAAGGTTTTAACTTTTCTTAGTTTATAGCAAAAGTAGATGGTAGATGTTCTGGGATATCTTGACTTTAAAAAACAAACACCACCACCAACAGCAAAACCCTCTTGGATGTCTCTGAGGCTTGCTAAGGTGGGTCCCTCCCAAGGGTCGCCAAGGCAACGCAGCATCCCCACATCCCAAACTCAGTGAGAAGGACCAGAGGCTTCCACAGGCAGCACAGGTCTCTAGTTACAGCTCGGCCTCTGCCCTCTAGGCTCACTCCGAACCTTGGCCGGCCTTCTCCCAAGCCTCCCACCACCCTCTCCAGGCCGGAGTACCTTGAAAGCGATGGGTAGGGTCTTGTTGCAGCGCCAGTGAGTGGGTAGCACGGAACAGAGGAAGTTGGGGCTGTCGGTGCGCACCAGCTCTCCCGGGTGGTCAGCTAGTACCTCTACCATGCTGCGGTCGCCGCTTCTCAGTTTGCTGGCCAGGGCGGCGCCGCTGTCCGGGGCGCCCAGCGGCAGCGCCTCGCTCATCTTGCCGGGGCTCAGCGCGGTGGAAGGCGGCGTGAAGCGGCGGCTCGTGCTGGCATCTACGGGGATACGCATCACAACAAGCCGATTGAGTAAGGACCCTGAAAACAGCTCCTACTAGACGGCAACACGGGCTCGGGTCTTCTTCAAGCAGCTCCCGGGATACCAACATACAAGTTCAGGAACCTTTATTACTGCCGGAGGGTGGTGGGGGAGGAGGGAGGCTAAATTACCAACAGTCCTGTACTGAGTTCTAGTTAGTCGGATCGGCCTCACCCAAGCAGGGCTAACAACTGGCCGATTAGTGCATTAAAGAGTGGGCAACCAGAATCCAAAGACGGATGCCCAAAGGAGCCTCGCTTTCAGAGTTGAAGTTCAGTCTTTGGCTATTACAAATGGTCCCGGAGACAAAATTCCCGAACACGTCCTAAAATATTTATGCGCAGAACAACAACAATAACAACAAAATGACCAGCAAAAACTAGATTTGGAAGTCCCAGCAGGTAATTGCCTGTCAGTTTGCTTTTCTTTCTCGCAGGTCAGTTTTGTTTAAAGTCCCAAAGAAATACGAAACTTAGGAGTGTCTTCCAAACAGGGAGCCCCTCTTATCGTAAAAACTCAATTCGGTTCTCAAAAGCAGGAGCTGCAACATTAAAAGATTGTGCTAGTAATGTATGTGCTCGTATATATAAATATATACATATGATCTACTTCATAAAATATTTACAATACAATCTGTAGAGAATTTAAACACAACAGAAATCCATTAATGTTCGCTGAAGTCTTTTTTTTTTTCTTTAAAGTAGCCTTGAAAATCAGCTTCAGTAGTTGATAGGCTGGCGTAGAATCACTTGTCGTTATTCTCTCAATAAATTCCGGACAAATGGTCAGTGCAGAGAGTTTAGTTTTACAACAACCTCTATCTAATCGGGAGGGGGAAAAAAGCAAACTAGACGACGCTCAAGCTAGCGCTTCCCACATCTGAGGACTCGGGTTTGGGAACGTTGGTTAAGTTTGTGGCTGATCCTGTGGTTTGGTGGGAGTTGAGCCGAAGTTGGTTGGGTCCCACCGGCAGACGCGCACTCTTCGGAAGCCAGCCACTGTCTACATTGGTTGAGTGAGTCAGCTCAGACTCTGGCAGTAGCAAGATGATCTTCCTCCAACTTCGCCCGGCGCTGGCTGGCTGGTTTTTCTGCTGGGGCGCACAAATACCCACGAGCGAGTGAGCACCGTGTAACCGCAGCAGGTGGAGCGGGCCGGGGAGGAAGCGCCGCAGACCAGGAGGCTCGAGTTACAGGCGCTCGCGCTCACTCCCACGCACCCTGCCACGCACACGCAACTTCACGGCTCTCCTGGAACTCCGAACACTTTCTCCCGCGGTTGTCAAAAGAAACAATCGGAAAAAAGTTCACAGCCAGGAGAGAAGTTAAAACATCCGACCCCAGAAGCCAGTTCATTCAAAAGTGAGAAAGGAAAAATAAAATTAAAAGAAAAAAAAAAGAAAAGAAAAAAGGAAAGGAAAAGGTCCAACGCAGAGCAGATCGAGGAGGAGCCGCAAAGGGGGACTTCCTTGCGTCCCCGGGAGCTCAGGATGGAAGTGGCAGCCGCAGGGCCGGGCAGCGTGGTGCCCTGGCTGGGTCCGGCCGCGGGGCGCCCGTCCTGCCCGC